ATGATTACACAGATCCTAGTAATGCATTTAGGTAACGTCGAGGAAGTTTCTAAAGGTGTTCAGCCAAATGAATGCAGCTGAGCAATAAGTAAAGCCACATAGTTAAGTTCTTTGGCATTCCCTGACTTGCTGATTTGAGACCCCTTTGAGGAGTGAAAAAGCCAACTTTCTGCTCCTCTAAGTGCCGTATGTCATATTAGAGTGCTAGCCTGTTGAATGAGCATGAGAGACACTGACATTTCTGCTGTTTCCCGCAGTGTTTTTGGGAGCAGGCATGAAGTGATCCCTACACAAACTTGTGTTTTAGAACGAAAGTATTCTTGATAATTCTGCATCAGATCTAGACTCTTGCTGTTTTAATGCTAGTGTTATAATGTTCTTATGTGGTGTGGAATGTTGTATAGTAGAAGAAATACCCACTTTATGGTTGTATTCTAGGGTCACAACTGTGAAGAGACATTTTTAATATTTCATAGTATTTTGATAAACCTTTTAAATTCACATGTTAGTTTCATTTGAGATGCATTTGTTTATGATTGTCAGGAGCTCCATATGAATCAACAAACAAGGAAACATCTCAAAGAGGAATTTGATGCTTCCTTAGAAGAAAAGGATCAACTTATCAGTGTCCTGCAAACTCAGGTGAGATACCTTACCCAACAGATGTGCTTTAAAACTGCTCTTCCTACTTTTTTTTTTGCTTTAAATTACCTATTTCCTATAATGCATGTCCATGTCTTTTTACAATTGCTGTGATGTTGTTGAGCTTGTTGAGAATTTATGTTTATCTAGAAAATAAATGCATCTTTGTGGTAGAGGATACCCTTGTACTATCTCACTAATGTTAAATGGGATTGTTTGATATGTGCTTAAATTGTATCGTCTTTGTTATCAAGAACATAACATTGGCAGATGTTTGAGTTCGGCAAAATTTATGTGTTTTGCTTAACTGGTCTTTTTTTCTCCACTCATATTGATACTATTTTTGTGAATTGGAAACAATTCTGATTTTTGAAATGCTACAAAATTCAGACAGATTTTTCCTTTCTCTACTTGCTGATACCAATTTATTTAACTCTCTCTAGTTCTGAAGACAAAAACATGATCTACTTAGAATCTTTGGGTTTCTCTAACAAAAAGAACATTTTATTTAGGTATCATTGCTGAAACAGACGTTACAGAATGGTCAGATATGCTCTGAATTGCCTGACTCGACTATCCCATCTAAACCACAAGTTCAAAGTCCAACAAAAGAAATCAGCACAGAAACTACTGTGGAACCAGGAAGCAATGGTAGGTATTGCAGCTTTTTCAAGAGATGTTGAATTTTGGGTAATAAGCCTGCTGTTATTGATGATGGAGTAACAATACTTAGGGCTGAACATGTCATAGTACGGATATCTTTCCTGGGAGGAGACAGTTGTTTTGTGAAGAGTGTGGCAGCTAGAGGACAGGATAACCCTTCGAAGATATTAAATTTTCATGAGAATTCAAATCTGGCTCGCCTTTGTCAGAAATGACGACAGTATTGCCATTATTGCATTTGATGGGAGGGGTTTTTACTCTCCCCACTTAATATGATTAAGAGATTCTGTCCCCCATAAGCAAGGACCTATGCCTGGAGTTCAGAGAGGACACCAGTTGCCAGACTTTCTCTTTTTTTCCACACACACCGACTACCCCTCCCCTCCCCAGGAAAAAGTAAAAGCAAAGATCAATTTTGATATTCATGCTGTTGAGTAATCTAAGTGTTCCCTCACACCAGGAGGTTATTTGAGTTACGGGACTCCCAGTATTGTGTCTATTTGATTACTGAGCAAGGGACATTCTAATGCTGATACATAGTGAATGTGTGATTGGCATCCTTCATAGAAAGATAGGGACAGAGGTGAACAGGCATCTTTCAATTATCTTTGTTCAGCGTCTGCCATGATTTTTGTACGTTAGGATGATATGAAGGCTCAGGTCAGAGATTTTCTGTCATGTCTTCTGTAGTGCTTAGGAAATAATTTAAGTATCTGGGCCCTAAGAATCAGGGTTCAGGACATTTCCTGTGCTAGAGTGTGCTTCTGGACTATAGCATATAAGACTTAGGAACTGAACCTCTGAATTTGGTCCTGTTTTCGTGACAAGTACTGGTACAGACTCCAGAGCATCAGAGGGGAACAGAGAGTGAAATATTGCTCATTGTGCTGGTTACGCAGGAAGGAGTAAAGCTTGGAAAGATGCTAAATGGGGCCTTAATCCTGCCCAATGTGGTACTGCCAACCTGGATATTTTGGAATAACGTCATACCCAGCGTTGGGAAATCAGGAATCTGTGTGCTTGGCACTTGAGAGATGTGATTTGCTTTGCTTTGCTTTTTTTCCTGCCTGTGAATATTTTGTTAGTAGCAGCAGGCAGGTTTCTAAATGGTGATGACTTTTTAATTGTATAGAAAACCTTGTTGAATAATTGTTTTGGAAGCTTGTATAATAACTAGGTTTTTGTGAATTAATTTGGGGTGAAAGACTGTATTTACTGTTCTGTGTGTGTGGCATGTTTCTGGCAGTTACAGTAGGCACTAGGAAGTTTTGCAGATTTGCACAACTTTCTTTAGAGACCCAAGAGACGTCCACATCCATCTGAATGCAGATCTACGTTTTGGAAAAGGTATGATAATGTTGGTGTGTTGTCTTGTAGAGGGTAATGAAGATTCAGTTAAAACACTGGAAACTCTTAGTCAGAGGGTGAAGCACCAAGAGAACTTGCTGCAAAGTTGCAAGGAGGTGATTCAGTCACATAAGGAGCGATGTGCCCAGTTAACCAACGAGAAAGAGGCACTTCAAGAGCAGTTAGAAGAGAGGCTTCAGGAACTGGAGAAAATGAAGGTATGGAAAATGCCCTTAAGTTTATGGGTAGCTAATAAAACTCAGTAAGAAGTCCAGTATTTCCAAACTTTATCAGTAGGGCAGACCATTAAACAAGAATCTGTCCCTGTACATTTTTGGAGTTAAAGCTGCAAAACCTGCCTGGATTGAACACATTCAGCAATTGCTCAAAGCTGTCAAGAAGGGTGTGAAACCTTACTATATGAATAACTGTCAAAATGGGATCAGAAATAAAGTAGCTGTGGGATGCTGGGGTGAGGAAAAGACTGCCCTGGCACAAGACAGGAGGTGAAGGGAGAAAAGTGGAGCAGAGCTAAACCTTGAAGACATGTTGGAAGAAGTATCAGTTATGTAAACGATCAGAAACACAGGTAGGACAGTGGAGATAACATAAGTGCAGTCCCAAAGCTAAATTGATGTTTTGCTCAATTTCCCTTTTAAGGCCGTTAATGCCGGGCGTGGAGTAAAAGTAAGGTGACTGCTGAGTAACAGAAGCATGAAAACGGGGAAGTGTAGCTGTACTCCAGTTCTGGAGATCACCTTCTCTTCTCTGTCTTGGTCTCTCTGAGCGCTAGCCCGCTTTGAAAGAGCTCTGAAAATCTCTAGGGTTTTAAAGACAAGGGTCTTTAAAAGGGTTTTAAAAGGGTTTTTAAAAGGGTTTTAAAAGGGTTCTTTTTAGGGTTTTAAAGACAAGGGTCTTTTCTAGAACAAGACCAGTGGTGAGCAATGAAGTTGGGTTGCTGAGATCCTCTTGTAAGCAGAGATGCAGGTAATAGAGCCTTAGGGGTGTTTCTTGCCCATTTGACTGTAGCAGGTCTGGCATGCATGGGAGAACTGTGGAGGCTGTAACAAAGCCTTCAGATACCTGAATCGTTATGGAAGCCAGGAGGCAGCCTAGCACTGGGAGATTTAAAAGTGATTTCCAGGTGCCTAGTTTAATTTCCCTGGATTCTAGTCTGTGCTCTTCCTTGCAAGGCACAGTGCAGTGTAAGAGCTAACCTAAGCTGTTTGTCACAAGAAGGTCTTTTCTTACAGATGGCAGTGTTTTAAACTTGTGGTTGGGGTCTTTTTTTTAGGACCTTCAAATGGCTGAGAAGACTAAACTGATTACGCAGCTGCGTGATGCAAAGAATTTGATTGAGCAGCTAGAACAAGACAAGGTAAGCAGAAAATTTTCATTAAACTATGTGTAGTTTTTGAAGAAGATTATTTAAAACTCAAAATACCTGGCTTCCTGGTATTGGAAGCTGTTCTTAGTCATCTGATGTGGTTTGGTTTATGTTTTAACAAGCAAATAATTTAAGGCACCCGAGAATTTTATTGTGTAAATACCTCAGGGTAATTGTCTGTTGGGTTATACTTAATACTGCAAGATGATGTTATTTAGGATGGAGCAGTTATGCTGAACACACTCCTCAATGCCAGCTTTAAAAAAACCAACCACACCTAAAAAAACCACCCCAAAACCAAAACCCCACACTAATAAAGAGGAGTTACCATGTAAATGAATTTTAAAATGACTGAAGAAGGAACAGTAACTAGTTTCTTAGGAATATGAAGAGTTTCTCAGGTTTTTGTTCCTTCAGGTTGGTTTTTTTAATCACAGTCTTGGTACTTGGAGTAACTTCTAGTGGCATAATAAGTAACATGACTAACAGTCATTATATGTGCCTGCCTAAGGAGAAGGACACACACTACAATGCTTTTGGTTTGTTTACAGAATGCCTATTTCAGAGAAAAGTATCTGTAGCACAAGGAGGAAGTTTTCTGATGGTCCTTAGTTGCTGAAAGAGTTCTTTTCACCACTAGATAAATTCTGTCTACTCTTCAAAATAATCCCTATTATCTTATTTCTGTGAGCATTTTCTGTTTTCTGACATAGAAGAACACCATCATCTCTGGTCTTGCAGTAATAGACTAAAGCTTATTCCTGACAAGGATTGTGTCCTGGCTTGAAGTTTCAGGTATATATTTGATTTATTTGCTAGCTTTTTATCACAAGGACCTTTTCCGTAGGGCATGGTAATCGCAGAGACAAAGCGACAAATGCATGAAACACTGGAAATGAAGGAGGAGGAGATAGCCCAGCTGCGTGCTCAGATCAAACAAATAATTACCAAAGGAGAAGAATTAAAAGAACAGAAAGAAAAATCTGAAAGAGCTGGTAAGAAATTCTGGAGATTATCAGTTTTCACATTTAAACAAGAGGAAGCTTCAGCGTGGTCTTCTTGTACTCTTTCATCTGTTGTTGTTTGGAATGGATATTAGGAGATGCTCTTTTTTCTACTGTTCTATATATCGCCCCGGCTAGCCTCATTACTAACTTCACTTCAGGTTAACAGGGTGTAGGGGTTGGTTTGTCTCTGTTATCAATCCCACTGGAGTTAGGAGGGAAACTACTGAGGGGCAACTGTACTTTCCCATTTGTAGGAGAAAAGATTGATAGTTTTGTGCTGGTATAACTTCAGGAGGGAAATTTGCATCTATCCACAAATTGTGAGTATAATGCCACAAGTATTTAACATAGAAAGCACAGCAGTGAGTGTATAAGAGCTTGGGAAGAAGTAGAAGTAAGAGGATGTGTTACAACCATAATAAGCGTTTTCTTTCACTAATAACAATGGAAGCCTATATGATTACTTTTGAGTGAAGCAGCAACGATGATTCCTTTTGCTTCATGCTTGGAACCTAGCAGTTATGTCACTGTGACATGCTGTAGTTTGCTTTTGATGGACATTAGGTAATGTTATATGTGCTTGCATTTCTCCTTTGCTTGGAACAAAATTAATAGTCAATCCACCTCACCTTCATTTTTTAAAAGTGTGAAATTGTTTTGCACTATGTCTATCAAAATTCTTTTAGAAGAATTTAGTTTGCTGTCATAAGCATCCAATTCTTTTGACAGAAGCTCAGATGTGGTTAGTTTTCGTAAAACTACGCATATTTTCTTTTTCTAAAAAACAGTGGTAAGTTCAAACAATGTATTTCATAGGGTTTTATTTTAAATCTAGGTAGGTTCAGGCTAGAACTTTCAGTTTTAAATATTAGTTTGGGTAGGTCATTCCGACGGAATACAGAAGAGCAACCTGAACGTCCGTCTTGTGAAAGTAACAAGCATTTTGATTAGGTGCCCTTCTACCCCTGCAGGTTGCATCTGTCTGTTTAGCTCTGAAAATTCATACTTTGGAAGTCAGTTCTGCTAAAGTTGGAATTTGTTCAGTTCTTGGAGTCTAGGAAGCTTTTCTTCATGATGAAAAAAAAAAAAGCTGAGGAATATTTTAATACTTGTGTAGATATGAAGTTATTGTCATAGTTGTTTGAAACACAGCATTTTTTGAAGCAATAGAAAAATCTTAATTATGAACTAATATCTACGCACTATGGTTAATAATTTCCTCAAGTTTGCATAGCCAGAAGGTGAAAATGGGTTAGAGATGATGCTGTAGATACCTGGAAAATAACTATTGTAGTGAGAAGTAATTTCACTTAGGAATAAGTGCACTTTTTTTAGGGAGAGATTTGTGTGTTAAATATTTTCTCTTTAAAATTTTATTTAAAAGTACTTTAGGTAGATTTTATGGTTCCTAAGCATGCACCTTATCTTTGAGTGCATTTATTTCTGTACTTCTTTATTCATGCATATATAAATGTTGAAATCCTTGGAAAATTAGTTAATACTGCTTCTAAGATAGGCAAAATTTTAAGGTGACCTTTATTAGGTTTTCCTATTACTTCCTTGGCTTTATGCATTACAAAAAATGTTGTAACGTACAATGCAAGTGTAGTTCAGTACAGTTGAACTAAATTGTTCAGGCATTTGAGAAAACCACCATTGACGTTGGGAGAGCATAAAATTACTTTTAGGCCACAACCTTTGAGTTGTACCAGTTTTAAGAATTTGTCAGTTTCTTGTATTTGAGATCAATATGTTTCAGGTTCTGTTTCTTGGACAGTTAATGTGAGATGATTTTAAATTCTGTATCGTTACTTAGTGAAGAATTGACTTCATAGAATATTGCATTTGTAGAAGTGTTAATTTCATTTATGTTATGGCAAAATAAGGATAAACATAATACACTGTAAATTTATCTTCATAGTGCTATATTGTAGGCTAAAAAATGGTATAATTTTCTACTTCATGTTTTTAACTTGCCTAGAGTTATATGTCTGGCTTTTTTTTTGCTATAATTCAGTGACTATTGAAATGCTCCAGTGCTTTAATGTTAATGCATTTTTGTGTATCGAAATAGTGAAAAGATATGTATGCTTATTTTGTGCATGTTTTGTAAACTGTAACTTGGTTTCCCCCAGTTGAAGTTCATTATTTTTTGTAGTTAGAGATACATTATGTTGAAATCTCACACAGCATCTTGTTTTTGTGCATCCACACATGCCAATAAGTGAATCATGGTGCCTTTCCCAAGCCTTGTATGAACAGGACTGGGGTAAGGGCTCTATTTTCTTACATCACACCTTGGGTGCTTGAACTGGATTCTAAAAAGTAAATTCTGTGCTTCTCAGGCACTTTTACATGAAGTAACTGCCACTGATGTTTTTTTTTCTAACTTTGCAGTATATATCAAGTACTTACATTTTAATTCAACAAATGTATTTGTAGTATGTGTAAATTGACTGGTAAACTGAAGTTTGTTTCTCCTGAAACTATTTGGCATAAGTCCTTTCTGACTTCTCAGGATGCAGATTTTTGACTTGCTTAGAATTTTCTGTACAGTAAGCAGAGAAAATCTTTAGAAAGCAAATTCATTTTGCTTTACTTTGGCATTCTTTGTAGGTGACATTTTCTTTTGAGAGCTGAATTAACATATGCTTTGCACCTTGCTGCAGAGAAACAAGAAGCTTGCACTGTGCATTTGAAATCCTGCCTAGGTGCACACATCAACTATAGGAAATTAATGCAACCTTGGTTTCTCAGATATTTGACAAGGTGTCTACTCTGAGCCTTCAGTAAGGAAACGTAAAAATCCCTCCTTTGCCGTCCCGTTGAGCGCTTTCTTCGCAGTTTTCAGCAGTAGATGGCACTGTAGTTGAAGATACCACGTCTGCATCGTCGGGAGAGTAAGCAAGAAGCCTTTTACAGTAGGGACTGGCATGACAGTGGGTAGGAGAGGCAAGGCGAAGGGAACTGAGATGGGTGCTTCGGAGTAGCCCAGCAAAGCAGTCAACTCTCTAACACGTTTTGTAAACATCAGTTTTGCAACCTTGCTCTTCTTAAACTGGGCTCTGTGTGTCATTTATATACTGCACATGAAGGTTTCCTGTTTGTCTGGCTTGGTCACAGGAATGGGATTTTGCAAGACTCACCTGAGACTGTTGGTGTGCTTCTTACTGTTTCTGATTTGCCACCGTGCCTCTGTGAGACTTGGCTTAACCAGTGCCTTGGTTAAAAGATCTTCCCATGACAGTAGCCCCGTTGGTTGGGAAGAACACAGGCAGTGCCTTTACTCTGCATTCAGAATAGACGTATTTGGATAAAACCGTGGACTTTTATTCCAGACTTTTAAAGACAGTAGAATTAAAATCTCCCATAGATGAAAAAAGTAATAACAGTAATAATTTAGACAATGTCCTGTCTACTTGATGACAGTTTACCCCTCAGCTGGTTTGAAACTCGGTTGTGTCATGCTGCACTAGAATTAACGACTTTGAATAAAAATGTCCTGTTTTGCTGAAGTGCTGTAAGTGCCTGAGATGCATAGAATTTAACTTTTAGAGAGCTAAGCTTGGTTCTGTGAAATGTTGCTCTTTTCTGCTTTCATTCTCCCTTGGCGTTTTATCCATTGGCTTTTGTCTAGCTCTTGTGTTGGCACCCTGCTTGTGATAGTGGTGATGCAGCTGTTGTACTGCGTGTTGCTCAGCTCCTACACATCAGTAGTCAGTCCTAGTGTTAACCTGGATATTTCTGATGGATTTGTGGGCTGTGGCAAACGCATGCTCCTTCTTTTTGCAGAAGATGCAGGTTTCTCAAATGAAAATAAAAGTATATGTTGCTGAGAATAAGAATCAGAAAATGTCTGATATTAGAAAAGTGAAATAACTTCATCTTTTACTTGCAGGCTTGATTTTCAAGCGCTACTCATTAATGGTCTATAGGCTTGGTTTATTTGTTTTGTACTTTTTTGTTAAAGGCATTTATGATGCTGTAATACTGAGGGACTTGGCCGATTTGGCTGGCTGTACTTGCTTTTGTCAGGGGTGAGAGAAGCATCAGGCAAGTTGGTGCCATTCTCCGAAAACAACTCGTGCGGGCTGTGTTCATAACAAAGTTGTGCCTGGGGTGGCCAGCGGGGAGGACTTGAGTCCTGTGGGTCCCAGGTGGCAAATGCCTTGGTGGGGACTGTGAAGAACTGTGCTTGGAAAGCAAGGAGCTGTAAGCCTCGTGCATGCTCGCGTTATGTTTAGATTGGTTTGCTGCTTGAAATAATCTCTAGTGCTCCTTATTTTTTGTAATGAACTCTAGTATTTATTGGTTAAGTAGAACTGGGAGTGAAAAAGTGGATACAATGATGGCCTTTGGTATTGCCAGGGTTATTAACAGCCCTGTTTTGCTCTAAAACATGATCGTTGCTGTGAGTAGTCCTTCCTCAGAAAATATGAGAAAATTCTGGAAAAGGTCAGAATTTGGGTGAATACAATTTTATGGAATTAAGTTGCTTGGAAACATACTTACAGTATTGCTTCAAAAGTGTAAATAGTGGTTAAAAGCTTCAGTGTTGAATATTATCAGAAGATGTGGAATGGAAATTATTATTCGCTCCTCAAACCTGCACCTGAATGTTACTAAAGATAGTTTCAAAAAACCAAGGATTACAAAAATTGCTGCGTGTGCCTACCAAAAAATGGTGAATCAAGGATACTGGAAATCTATGTGTTTGTTATGATTTTCTTTTGGGGATAGAACTAAGTGGTAGAAAGCTTAGCATGCTGAATAACACTTCAAAACCTGTTTTGTTTGCTCCCAGAATAGTATCCAAGTCGTCCTCCAGGCTATAGTAAAATAATACATTTCTAGGAGGGTTGTGCTCTGATAAATTACAGTCTTCATATTGGCACTGTGATTTTGGGTTTTACTGAGTTTGGCCAAAGTTGTTCTATGCAGCAAATCTAAGCATAGAGTAGTCTGAATTTTCCTTAGAAAATCAGGGCGTTTCCACATTCACAATCTATTCAGGAAAAGAGATTTCCCTAATAGTGATCAAATTCTAGTCTTGTGTAATTCTATATAGATTCTGCCAAAAGTTTCAGTGAGGAACTCAGATACTGGTATTGAGTAATAATAGTAACAAAAAACCAGCTCACAACACATGAATTTATTTTATTTTTATATCTAAATGATCATCTGTGAAATGAAATATGTTAGAATACTTCTTAGCATGGGAAGAAGCTGTGGAATGACTGGTTCTGATTTGTAAATTAAAATGTGTTTCAGCAGATTTGTACATCTTCAGCAAACAGAAATAAATTTTATCACTCCAGATTCGGTGTTCTTTTGAAACACATTATAGACACTGAGGTTTTCTGGGAGCAAATCTTATGTGAATTTGTTGGAACAGCCATTTGTCAATTCTCTTTCTTTTCTAGGGTAAACCCATGTGAATTCTTGATGGCCTCCTAAGTTCATTCTTCTGTTCCTTGTGTAATTTACAGTTACTATGAACTCTGCTCTTCTATCAAGGGACACTGATCTTTCTTAACTATCATATACTTCTTTTCTTTGCAGCTTTTGAAGAGCTTGAGAGGGCTCTGAGTCTTGCCCAAAAGACAGAGGAATCCCAGAAGAAATTGCAGGCAGAAATGGATAAAAAAATCAAAGCAGTAGAAAAGGCAAGTGAGGAAGAGAGGGTAAATCTTCAGCGGGAGTTAACCAGAGTGAAACAAGAGGTGGTTGAGATTATGAAGGTAAAAGCTGAGACTCACCCTGTATTATTGGCTTTTAATCTAATAATTCAATTACAATTAAACTATAGTTGTAAAATACATTAGTATAACATAACGTTACAAAATTTTTCTGATTTAATAAGTTCTAGAGAAATCAATTTATAGGGTTAAAGATTTACGTACGACATAACAGAAAACTCCCCATATTGATTTTATTTCTTTATCTGACAGTTTAAAATCAGTACATTAGAGGCATATAAAACCGAACAGTATTGCTCCTTGTTTCACTGTATTTAATAAAATTATTTGCTACACGTACACTTGAGACTTTAAAGGAAGGCAAGAAGAAGAAATTAATGGTGGTCAGCTTGAATATCTCCACCAGGATTTTTGGGTTTAATACTAAGTAATTTTAACAATTATCCTAGCCCAGAATGTGTAAACTTTTAAAAACTTATTGCCAAACTGTTTGTTAAGTTAAGAGTTGCTAAACTTTGCTTCATTTGGTGTATTCAGGTAGACATTGTAGAAGGTACTGCATGTGCCTTGCAAAGCTGTAAATGAAAACACCTGTAAATGACAGTTCTTGTGTTGCCATTTGTTACGTTAGTAATTTTTCTAAGAGAATACACTGATTCTTTAGAGGGAGAAGTGACTTGCATTCCATTATTCTTAAATAAAGCATGTTTATAGATTGTGGATAGCTGTCTACATAGAGTATCATCACTTGACTTTCTGGCGTGGGAAATAACAAGAATGCAGGGAAAGTTAGAGACGGAAGTTCCTTTTCCAAGTTATGATCACGTTGGCACTGAAACTGAAAACACCTAAGTTCCCCTTGGTAGATGAGTCTTTAGAAGATTTGGTGTTTCTTTTGGTAGAACTGTGAAAGACTTGAGAAGGAAGATGGATAACTTGAAGCTTGAAAATAGCCCCTGTCAGGGCTCAGTAGGAAGCGTTCAAGTGACTGTTGCTTACTCAAAGGCAGCAAAGAGATGGTTCCGGTTCCCTCTCTCTGTTGCACTGCTTTTCTTATAAAGAAATAATACAAAGTGTTATTGACTATTTTGACTTTATTTTTTTTTTTCTGACTGATTGATAGAAGTCTTCAGAGGAGCGTGTTGCTGAACTAGAAAAACACCATAATGAAGAAATGGCTGCCAAAGATCGGGAGCTAAATGAGAGGTTACAGGCCCAAGAGAAGGCGTTCCAGGGCAAGATGAAGGCAGCTCTTGTGAGTATCACTGAAACGTGTAGTAAGATGTTTCTCTGAGTGTGAGATGGAACTAGAAGTCTTCATCTGACCCTGTTCTGTAGCCAGAGTCCTTCTGCACTCAAGAGATACAGAGCATCCTCCAAAAGTCAGAGGTCAGACTCTTCAGCAGCATGATGGGAAAGCAGCTGTGGTGATACAGACTGAATAATGACAGTTAATCACTCTCACTGCTCACTAACAGCTGCATCTTCTGGGAAAGACTTCTTTTATTCTTAAAACTGCTTTTCTTAGACCTTTTTTTAAAAAAATTTCTTCCTCTGGATCATTGGCAATTAGCCAGAGCAACTAGAGTAGAAGAGGTTCAAAGAATGAGGCTGTTCCTTGAAAAGTGTTGGTATCATTGTGGACGATTGTGTTGTATGATGTGAGCAGGGTTAACTATTCATAGTGTTTGACCTCAGAAAATAATTTCCTTCCATGTCAGGCTGGGAGGAATCACTGGATTCTTTGTTCTTTTTCATAAGATGTAATCCACTTTAGATCATGTAATTTTACCTAACAAATAGTAGATTCTCCTTTGTGCTCCTCTGTGATGGTTCGTCAGTAGGACTGAGGGACTTTGACAGTCTCTTCGTGATTATATTTTTTCCTTCTAATTTCTGAGGTTATTTTTTTATTATAAGGAATAATAGCTTAAAAATAATTTAGCAATGGAAGCAAGTGAGAACAGACCTTTATTCCTCTAAGGTGTTACTCTCAATCGTGCTAAACAAAACACAATGGAAGGCTGGGTTGCATTAGGTTTTTCATAGAAAGGTGAATGGTTCCCAAGAAGAGAAAATGGAAGTGATATATAACGGTTTTGTTTACACAGACGAAATACAAACTCTGTGCTTGTGGTGAAAATACAGGTGTGCCTAGTGTATGACTCCTATTAACTTGTTTGTAAATATTCTATTCTACTGGTTTTGGAGGTGTGATGACTGTATGTATTGTTTTAATCATAATTTTTGATACAGGAAAGAAATCAGAGTGAGTGTTTAAAAGCCCTTCAAGAACAAGAGCAGCAAGGATTCCTAGCTTTAGAAGAATTAGAGCTGCAGAAAAAAGCAATACAGTCAGAGTGTGACAAGAAGATTCAGAAGATGCATCAAGAAGTAGAGACTTCTAGAACTGTGAGTAAAGATTCCCAAGGGGTAAATGTTTACAGGAATTCCTTTTAGTATATATTCGAAGTGTGACAGTTTACAGATACTGTGGATTTGTTGTAGTTGGGTTGTTTTAATCTCAGAGTGTTTAAAAAACACACATCTGCATTCACTTTGTATCGTGGCATGATACATTAATTTGTATCCTTCCACATAATTTTTATGTATGTTCTACAGGATTGTTGAACCTCAAACTGTCTTAACTCCTGGGTACTGCTAGCATACACACACTTATAAAGATACTTGAGTAAAGAAGAAAATGTGCTTAAATTTTGAAGTGTCCCTTGCTTTATGTAATGGGTCAGATTGCATTATCTGCCAATGCAAGTTTGTATGTTATGCTGCCACTCCCTAATATTAGTTTGAATGTTTTGCCTATAGAAGATTTTACCTTCACAGCAGAATTTCCATGAGATGTGTGGAATTAAGATAAATCAGTAGGGGTGTGTAAAAAGCTTGGTAATACTCGTGTAGACTCTTGATGTCTTTCATCCTATGTGTTGGCATTTTAGCTTAATAAGAAGAAATGGATGTGTATCTCATAAATGTCACAGGAATTATTTTATTTGTATTAGTTAAATTCTTTCTAAGGTTTTATTGTATGTGTTTTCACCACAGTGAAAGAGAAAACCTTTTATTAAAAAAATAACCATAATGGAAGCAAGTCTGAGAAGAAACTAGGTGAATGAAAGGCTGCCATAAAAAGTTAATATTCACTAAAAAGAACGGAATAAGTTAGTTGTAGTTATGTGAACCTGGTGGCATTTTGAAATAATTTCATCTTGTTGCTTTTTGAATATTCATGTTCTTCTAAAACTATTTTCTCACAGAGGATTCTTGAACTGGAAAGCTCTCTTGCAAAGTATTCACAAGAGGACAGAAAGCAATCAGAGGACTTAAGTATTCTGATGGAGTCTGAAAAAAAGCAGCACAATAAGGAAATAAATGATATAGTTGAAAAACACAAGAATGAACTGGAAAACATGAAACAGCAGCAGGAAAAGCTTTGGACAGAGAAACTTCAAGTCTTAAAGCAACAACAAGTAACTGAAATAGAAAAAATGAGAGAGAAACAAGAACAAGAGATAGCTACAATTTTGAAAGAGAAAGAAACAGTTTTCCATGCACACATAGAAGAGATGAATGAAAAAACGTTAGAAAAACTTGACGTGAAACAAACAGAGTTAGAAGCACTGTCTTCTGAGCTATCAGAAGCACTAAAAGTACGTCATGACTTGGAACAAGAGCTCTCTGCATTGAACAGTCGAGTGTGTGAAGCAAAGCAAGAATTGGAAGAAGAGAGGAGAAGGCACAAAGAAGAGGTTGAAGTGATGTCAAAAGAGCATGCACTGTCTATTCAAGGAGTTGAGAAGGTACTCAAAGAGGAACTCAACCAAGTCAAGCAGTCATTGGAGGAGAAGGACAGACATCTGGAGGAACTAAAAGCACACGAACAGAAGTTAAAGGAATCTGCAGAAAACTCTGAAGCTGAGTTTGTGCAAGTGTCTGCAAAGCTAGAGGAGCTCTCAGAGTCTCTTCGGAGTACGTCTAATGAGCAAGCAAAGATTCATGAAGAGGAATTAGCAAAGCTTCAGCAAAAGCTGACAGATCTTGAAGGTGAAAAATTGCAACTTAGTAAGCAGCTAGAAAGAACTGAATCCCAGCTGAATGATGTCAAGAATGAGTTAGAGGCATCCACCTCGCAGGTACGTGACCTGAAGCAGCATTTGCAAGAGCAAAGTAATGAAAATACACGGAAGGAAACCTCTCTGACACAACAGTATGAATGTCAACTGAGGGATCTACAAAGAGAGGCAGACGATACAAAGAGACTTCTAAGTGAGAAGGAAAATGAAATTGAACACGTGAAGTTACAGAACGAGCGAGTGGAAGAGCTTAAACAGAAACTCTTAGCCACAGAGGAGAGAATGAGTGCTTTACAAGGAGAATATGAAAGTAAACTGAAACGTCAGGATAACAAAATGGAGAAAATTAAACGGAAATCAGAAGATATGCAGGAAACTTTCAAAAAGAAACTTGCGGAGCAAGAAGCTAAACTAAAAAAAGAGTTTGAAAACAAGCAATTGGAGTTGAGTCAGAAAGAGAGGGAATTTGATGCTAAAATGTTGGAAATGGCACATGCCAGCTCAGCTGGAATCAATGAGGCTGTGTCAAAACTAGAATCTAATCACAAAGAGCAACTAGAGAGTCTTGCTGAAGCTCACAGGAGGGAGTTGGAAGAAATTACCCGGAGTTGGGAAAAGAAACTCCATCAGCAGGTTGAAGAGCTCCAGGAAAAGCATGAAATGGAGCTGCAAGCAAAGGAGCAGGAAATTGGAGACCTGAAACAGAAACTTGCCACCTTCAGTGCTGAGAAGGAGGGCTCCAGAGCAGAAAGAACCCGACTGAAGGGAGAACAGGTGACAAGGGAGGAGTCCCTGAAGGAACTGCAAGAACAACTAAGGCAGTCAGCGTCGAAGGTGAATGCTTGGTCAGATAAGGAAAGTGACCTGAAAACACAGTTGAAAAAATTGGAAGGTGATCTTAATCAGGCCCTGAAAGAGCAGTCAGGACTTGAGGAACAGCTCAGTGAACAGAAAGCAGTTGAAGAAAAGGACAAAGCCAAAATTACTGAGCTGGGTGATATAGTGAAAACACTTGAAGAGAAACTCCAAAATGTGCAGTCTTCTCAGTATAAATGTCATGAAAATTATGAGAAAAAAGTAGAAGCAATTCAGCTAAAAGAAACTGAGTTTAAAAGGCTGACAGGAGAACTTGTAGCCCAGTTAGATGCTTGCTGGAAGAACGCTGAAGCTTTATTGCAAACAAAAAGCAATGAATTAATTGAAAAATGTAGTGAAAAAATTGGCACACTAACATACAAGATTGCAGATTGTGAGCTCCGAACTTCAAAAGTTAAAGAAGCAATATTACATAAAATGAGTAAGATTGCTGAACTAGAAGCTCAACTTAGAGAAGTAACAGAGCATCATTCTGCTGCGAGTACTTCTTTGCAAAAGTCAATGCAACAGCTACAAGAGAAGGACAATTTAATTAGGTCCATGAGATCTGACATTGAAGGACTTCTAACAGAAAAGGAACGGTTGCAAAAAGAGGGAGGGCATCAGCAGCAAGCAGCATCAGAAAAAGAAACTTGTATAACACAGCTGAGGAAAGAGTTATCTGAAAATATCAATGCTGTCACCTCAATGAGGGAGGAACTCCAGGAAAAAGAATCTGAGATCTCTGTTCTCAACAAAACCATTAGTGACCTTAATGTTAGACTTGAAAGCATGGTAAGTTTAACAGAGAAGGGAGCAGCCATGTCTCTGTTAAGCAAGCAACATCAAGAGGATCAGTTGCAGTTGTTAAACCAGGTCCAGGAGTTATCGGCCAGAGTTGAGACGCTGAGTCAAGAAAAAGCATCAGCTCTTCAGCAGGTGGATTGTTGCACGGCCAAGTTGTCCGAGTGGAAGATGAAAGCACAAACCAGGTTGACACAAAATCATGATACTGTTAAAGATTTGCAGAGCAAGCTTGAATTAAGCAATACTGAAGCCAGTAAAAAAGATGAAGAGATAAATAAACTGAAGGAGCAGCTAGCTAAACAAAGCAAGAATCTTGATAGTTTAAAAAGTGAATTGGAACAAAAGCAAACCAAGAGGGAAAAGCAAGAAAGTGAGTTAACCGCAAAGTTAAAAAACCAAGCAGCAAGAATTGCTGAACTAGAAGAACACGTTGCTCAGAAAACTTCAGAAAATGTTTCCTTGATGGAAAAACTTAAAAAGTATAATGAACAAAAAGACACAGAGCAAAAGGAGATAGCTTGGCAACTCCAGCAGGCAGAGAGGGTGGCTTTTGAAAAGGACAATAGATTTAAGGAGGCTGAAGAAAAAGTGCTTAATCTTGAGAAGCAAATAGGTTCACTGAAAGCTGAATTTGAAGCAAAGGAGAGGGAATTTGCTCAAATGAAGTCAGGGATACTTAAAAGCAAAGAGGAAGAGCTGAAAGGATTAGAAGAGAGATTGAATGCAGAGAGCAACACTAAGCTGGCAGATCTGAAAAAGAAGGCAGAGCAAAAAATCATTTGTATTAAAAAGCAATTGCTGTCTCAGATGGAAGAAAAGGAACAGCAATTTAAGCAAGATAGAGAAAATCAGTTAAGAGAATTGGAGCAAAAAGTGCAGGAGAGAGAGGCCAAAATTGAGTCCTTAGAAGAAAAAATAAAGTCAACAAGAGATTCCACAGAATTAGAGAAAGAAATTCTGCTGCAAAAAGTAGAGAGTGTAAAAGCTGCTGTAGAACAAGAAAAAAATAACATGCTTGAGAGTGTCCAACAGACTTACAAAGAGAAAATGCACATGTTGCAGAAGGGCTTAACTGAAAAAGATGAATTGTTGCAGAAGTACGAAAAGCAGCAACGAGAGAGCAATGACTCTCATCTAGAACTGCAAACCAAACAGGACGAGCTCCTTAAAAAACTAGAACGTGTTGAGAAGAGCCATCAGGAGGAGCAGAGTAAGACTGAAAGCCTCAGGAAAGAACTTGAGGAGCAAACCAAAAAATACTCCTTGTTAGCAAATGAGCATGCTCGCTGCAGTGGTGATATAGCAAGCAGTAGGGAGGAATTAAGAGCTAAAGAGCAAAAACATCTTGATATGGAGAATGTAATTGGAGATTTCCAGAGAAAAATGCAAGAAAAGGAGGCAGTCAGTCAATCTTTAGAACAGAAGATAAAAGAGTTGGAAAATAATCTAGTGAAGGAAAATGAAGTGCGTAAGACTGAGATGGAAGATATGAGTTCGAGATATGAAGAAAAGTTAAAAGCTTTACAACAACAGTTGGATGAAAGAAATGACAGTCTGAAAGCTTTTGAGGAAAACGCTGAAGAAAAGGCTAAATCTGGTTTGGAGCTGCAGAAATTATTAGGTGATATGCAGAACCAGCAGAAGGATTTGCAGACTAAACTGGAAGAGACTGAAAGGGAGAAACAGAAACTACGCAAAGAAGTGAATAATCTTCAAAAAGACTTACGTACTCTGCGAAAGGAACATCAGCAAGAGCTTGACATACTAAAGAAGGAGTCCTTAGAAGAAATGGAGAAGAAAATCAGGTAAACTGTTAGCTCCTGGCCTTGTTGCTGCTTCTTTGCTTTAACCACTAAAATCTCAAGAATACTTTTTTAAGCTCAATTTCTAACAATGAAATAAGGACTGGTATTTTTCTGTCATTTTTCTAAAAAGACTTAGAGAAACAGCAAGAAAAATGCTACTTGAAAGTAAACATAAACCACTGTTTGAACCATCAGTTGGAAAAGGGGTTTATCTTCTGGCAAAGTAATACCACTTTGGTTTGGTTTAGTGATAGTTGTTTTCAGCATTGCCAGAACATAAAATAAAGTTATTTTTCCTCAAATGGGAAATAAACTTTATTAAAACTTAGTATTGAGAGGTTCATGTTCAAATGATATCAAGAAATGTTCATATGTAGCACACAAAAATGTGGTATACTGCTCAGCACTGTCATGATTTCTCCCGGAAGGAATTCCTTAAAAATTCTTTTATGTGGAATGTTCTTTACTTCCAGTTCTTCATCTTCCTCAGGAAAAACTCCGTATCTTTTGGAAGGGTTCAGTTCTGAGTTGCTTTTTAAATGAAACACCTTCACCTTCCAGGTGAATTCAATTGGAGGGGAACAGAGCGCCTCCCCAAATTCCACAGATTTCCCATCATTCAAAACCATCCCACTCTAATAATAGTTTTGGAGAAATTCCCAGATCTCCTACCTTGCTAAACTGTTCTCACGCTCTCTTCAAATATTTTTTCTCACTGTATTTTTTGACATTTTTGTACAGATGTGAACAAGAAGACATTGAGTTAAAGCACAACTCCACCTTAAAGCAGTTAATGAGAGAGTTCAATACTCAGCTGGCTCAAAAAGAAAGAGAATTGGAAACAGCAGTAAAAGAGACGATCAGTGAGTGAAATACTAATGTAACTGTAATTCGTACAATAGCCAGAAAACCAAATCTTCAGATGTTTTGGAAAAGGGGTTTTACCTGGGACTGATAAAGACAACATGTGTTTTACGGCTGCCTAGAGAACTCATGGAAAAAACTTTTTTTGGTCAGGAAATAACATCTAAATTTGAATTGTAGCACAAATAGGAAAGTGTAGATGTAGCTGTTCTTCCTTACCCTGCGGGGTGGATCTTTGATCTAGCACTCTGTGTGCATCTGTCGCGGCAAGTTACCCATGGTAGCCATAGGTACCTGTCTTTATCACAGGTACAAAATAAAAAAAGGACAGGAATGTTTTAGAGGTGAAAGCACATTGCTGGGTTTTCATTGCAATACTACTTTGACTTCAGCAGTACAAACCTTTAAGGCTCCATTGTTGAGTATATGGCACTGAAGGGTGCCTTTTAGAGAAACTTAAATTTATCTGGGAAGCAGAATTGTGTTTTCTTAGCTGTGTCTACAGACTTCATTCACTGTAACCACTAACAGGTACCAGCTGGCTGTGATCTCTGAACACTGTGGTTATAACTACAGTGCAGCAAATTTCGGCTTCTCTTCTCTGCCCCTGTTTTGCCACCATGGTGTAATTTGGAGGTTGAAGAAGTGAGCAGAAAGTATCTCTTGACTCTGCAGTTACTAGAAGTACCCTTATAAGTGAGGAATTTCTGAAGAGTTGCAGATGTTTCAATCACTTCCCATTAATTTTCTAGATAGAGTAAGAGATAGAACTAGTTGATAAATATTGGTTGTGTTCTTAAGTTTTAGAGAAAAGTTCCAGCATCAGGTAGTACAAATTGCTCTGGATACCAAACTGCAGACAACTTCATATTTATTAGGATCAAGTGATGTAGTTATATCATGGGCAATGTGGAGAAGTGAATTTTTTTGTCAAGTTTTCCTTATGCCTTCCTCAATTGTCTTCAAGCTTTTTGTAATACTGTTGTGACATTATTTAACAAAATAGATGTGGGTTTTTTTTTTTTATATTGCCTGACTTTTTTTATAGGTAAAGCCCAGGAGGTAGAAACTGAATTAATAGAAAATCATCACATAGAGACAACACAGTTGCATAAGAAAATTGCTGATAAAGATGATGATCTAAAAAGAACTGTGAACAAATATGAAGAAATCCTTGAGGTATCTTTCTGAAAAGTTCTATGATTATATACATTCTAAAATCACCTTTCTCTCTTTTAATTGCACAACTAGATAGAAAAACTGTAATTCTTTCTAGTAAATATCTTACTGGTTGAATTAGGCTTCATATGGGTGGTGACCTACCTTGCAATGAAAATGTTTGTTTCTTTGTTTTACGAAATGAAAGAAGACTAAATTTAAGCTCCAGCTCTGATTACTTAGTAAACGTGCTATGGTTAGGTCCTTGGGTCCTTGAGCAGTTTGTGTTCCAGATGGAGAAGAGGGAAGCGAGTGAGTGAAGTTTTAAGCTTTACTAGAGTTGTGGTGGTGGTGGTGTTTGGTGGTTTTTTTAAGGATTTAAAGACAGTGTTTATAGGTCAGCCTCCCTCCCTAGCTCCTTTCTCTGAGGCTCTGTCCAGATAGACACCACGGCCCTTAAAGTGAGGTTCTGTTCTATGGGGGATGCCGTCTGTTTGCATAGTTTCTGTGCTAATAAAGCTTTCGTTTTTACTTCTAAGTGAACAGTTTGTCTGCTTGATGCTTGCAGACAAACCTAGTTTTGCTCCAGTAACATTTCAACCCGGAGTTTGCAGCGAACTTGTTTCTAAAGATGCTTTTGTAAGATACTATGGTTCTTGATCTAAAAAACCTCTGAGAAAACCACCACCCCCAAAAATACATCTCAAATTAAGAGGAAATAGAAGGAGCTGAGTATGCCAGGTATTGAGGATTTTTAACTAGAGGTCTATAACCATCTATTAAAAAAACTCTTAGGAAAGGTTAATTGTTGATGTATTTTTGATGGCATAGAAAAATCATGTGAATGAGTGAAGAATAACGCTCTTTGGAGGTCATGATATTTGAGCAAGGTTTTTACTGAAGGTGGATATTCTTAAAACTTCTAGGCTGCAAAGCTTGCTTGGGTACTGTGAGTTCCCATTCACTAGTGTTTTGGGGGTGGGGTTTGCTTTGTTTGTTTGTGGTGGGTTTTGGGTTGAGGGGCTGCGTAGTGGGGGAGGGTGTTCTATTCTTAAGTAGTGTGCAGGGAAAACCTTAAAAAGTGACCTTACAGGGAAATAAATCTCTTTTTTTACTTATGGCATACCCTAAATCTCTTAAGCCTGGGCAGGCTTCCAGTTCTGCAGTTACAAACTACAGTGATTCACTGGAAAAGTAATCCTGATATTTTGAATGGAGCAGAATTTTGATCAGCAGTTCCCTTCTTGATAACAGTTGATGAATTGTACTGATTTGACCTGAAGTACCGTTGCATAGCAGAGCAGTCAGCTCTGTGCCCCGAGTGGTTAGCATGTGTGAAACTAGAGTTTTAGTTTAGATCAACAGTGGAGACACGCACTCTGTATTGGAGCGCTGTTTTATAAGCTCCCTAACATGTTATTTCCCAAAAGGGCCAGAGAGGACACAGTTTTTCTTTTTGCAAAGTGGCATATAGGTGGATTAACTTCCTAGGGTTTAGGTCATTGTATTTTTCTCATATAAATATTCTGTTCACACTGTCATAAACCAGGAAAAGTTCATTTCCTCACTACCAGTCTTGCCCCTGCTTCTTTCCTTCACGAAGCACAGTGCCCTCCAAACCCAGTCGTTGTTTCAGAAAATGTGCTGAAATCTGCTTAAGGAACATGCTTGTGAGAGTGAGTGAGGAAAGGATATAAGTCCTTGTCACTTCCAGAGTATAGGAAGTAACTGTGTCATCATGTGTCCCTTTCATGAAGGTTATAATAAGCAAGCTCAGTCTTTCCAGTACTGGATTATACTCAAATGCTGTTAGTGTCTGCTAGAAACAGCTCTTTTTTTATTATTATTTTCAAAAAACTAACTCCTAACTATGTAATGTTGTCAAAGGCCTGCAAAATCTTGTCAAGCTCCTAAGTTTGTTTCATGGTCTTTTTTGTCATCCTGTAGTGTAACTAGCCTTTATACTGAATTTCAAGCGTATTCTTTTCTGTGTATAGCGTAACTCTTTTGTTGCTTTCTGTCCATTGTAATTAAGCTTTTGAGTAGTTAGATGATTACTTAAGTAACTTTTTTTCCCTGTGTTTTGAAGGCTCGTGAAGAAGAGATGACAGCAAAAGTTCATGAGTTGCAGGCACAGCTAGAAAACTTGCAGAAGGAATACAAACACAGGATGGCAGAGGAACAACATTGGAACAGTGAAAAAGTGAGCTGGCACTAACATGTATTTTTATATCTGAAGATATGGAATGCTTAGTCTTCATAAAATTCTGTAGTTTGCTCTTAATTGAATTTTTTTTTTTACACTTTCTATTCTTTCAGATGTTAACTTTTTCAAGAGTGAACCTCTTTAGAATCTGCAGTAGTTGATACTACCTTTTTTAATGCTATGTTGAAAAGTCCAGTTACATTGTGATTATTAAGGTGGGGGGTTTTGCCCTCTACATGTACTTTTTATGTTGATTTTACTGGAATCCCTTTAGAAGGAAAGGAAGTCACATCAGGTCATCTTTAGTGTGATTTTTTTTTTTTTTTTTTTTTTTTTTTTTATTAATTCAAATCCCAGAGGGCTCTGAAATAGTGCCTTGAATGTATCCGTTATGGACAGAGACGTCTTCACTGGAAGAAGACTGAGTACATGCTTTTGTCTTTCTGAGGCCACATTTTACTTTGAGGAATTTGTTGAAAATATTACTAGTTTATTATTCCACTGAGAAGAGGAAAAGTATATGAGGTGTTGAGTCATTGATGAGAATTCATGTTAAGCTGTTTTTTACATTTTTCATTTTGACAGCAGACAGGAGTGGGGATACAAAATATATTTATTTGACATCACAGACTTAAAGTACAAATTACCTCACTGTCCTAATGTTTGTCCTTCCTGCCTTGCACTTACTTACAACTATTCCATAACATAAGTGGTGTTTTTATAACAGTAAAAGCAGAAATGCTTGTATCAGACTGGTTTGTATTCTTGATCAATCCTTGTCCACCCACTGATGATAATCTTACATCATCTTATTATCTGGAGGAAGATTTAAGAGACTCTTAAACCCTGTAACATTCTGAAGAGTATGAAGAGTGCTTTGCTACATTACAAGATGCTTTGTTATAGAAGTATGCTGTAAACACAGGTAGTCATTTAGCATCATGTTATACATGCATCTTCGGGATCACATATTCACTGATAGGACATGAAAGTTATAACAAATCTATATACCAGCAATGGTATTTCATGTATTTCTCAAGTATTTCCAGAAATGCATCACACAGATTTGCAGTGGTAGCATAGAGCTGTAAAATATTTGATTATTGCAGATATTACACCTCTATGTCTGCTTACAAGAAACAAAATAAAGAATTAATTTTGCCTGTCTTTGGAACATTGTCCACAGTTGTCCGCTCCTTGGAGTTTCCATGGCAGACTTTGGAGAAACTCAGGGGAGTTGCTCCATCCATAAACTGGTTGAGAGAACTCCATTTCTGGGGAATAACTTTGTTTTAAAGAATAAACGACCTCTCATTCGGAGGGGAGGAAAATGAGGTTGTGTGGTAGTGACGTACTTAAGTACAGTTAAAGCATCCAGGTTTGAAGTTCTTGCAGAGTAAGAATGAGATTTTTTTGGTGAGTGTAAGGCAGTTAAATATCCATGATTTCACTGGTATAGAGACATCAAGCTTTCTTGAGTAGTTCTGAGAATTCTAGCTGAACTCAAGTTTAGCAAATTGAGCCAAAGTGTAGCAATCCACATCTGGATTTTACACGTGCATTCAAATGAATTCTGTCATCTTACACTTGCCATGGTATCTTTTGTCTCACTTTTTTTTTTTTTTTGGTTAATTTTTAACATTATTCTCTTCTGAATAGTTGTTGGAGTTGTTTTTTTTCCTTCATCACTAGTAGTAAAACAGGTCAGAAGTCTTCTGTTGACTGGAAGCAGCTTCCTATGAGCAACTGATACACGTGTTGCGTAACACTCGAGTCTCCCAAGTCACCAAAGTTTGTCTTATAAAACCTCCTGTGTTGCTTTTTGTCAGCCTAGGCCAAACATCACACATGATGTATCCGCTTTGACATGAAGCATAACTATACGTTTGAACAATATTTGTTTGACTGTGATAAACATTTGGCAAATACTAACATCCTTAAGTGTTAGTGTTAGGATGTAAAAATATTATAAACACTCTCTCTGCATAAGAAAATAAATGCCTGATAACATAGTTGAGCTCTTTAGAAGCAAGAATTGTACTTAGAGGTTTGAGACCCATAGTCTGTTTGTGGACTGTAGGAAAACCCACAGGCTTTTTGAACTTACAGAGATAGGGAATAACTTTCCTCTTCAACACAAGTTGAAAGAGGCTCAGGAAGAAACAAAAGTAGTATGTACCCCTTCTCTGTTAAGGTTTAGGTTACCTTTTTATTTTTATTTTTTTTTTAAAAAGAGATATTTCACACACAAATTATTTGATGTTAAAATTATTTTTACAACCTTGAGTTACACCCATTACAACTAAAGCATTATTTTCCTTAGAGCTGGAACACTGGATGATAGGAATTTCACCTTAGACTTGTTTCTGTACTCCATAAACATTGCTATCTTCACAAGTTGTAGAGCTCCTGAAGCTATTCAGCTGAAGCTATTTTCAGATAAATGCTCACATTTCCAAATGCAACTTGGAGAATTAAGGAATAAGATACAATAGTATCTTACTAATAGTGAATAGTATTAATAGTAGCTAGGGTTTTCTGGCATGTGCTTCATACTCGTTCAGTTACCATTCATCTCCAATATGCATTTTGTAAAGATTTGAAAATTTTGAAGTTATATTTATTATAATTGTCTTACAGAATCAAAAGAGAGAATTTAAATAGAATCTTTATGTACTGTCAATACAAATAAGTTAAACTGTATTTGTGGGACAAATTATTTTTATAATTATGTTTCACTGCTTCCATTTTTATCATCTTCAGTTATCACATTGTATCAGAACTAGATGATTA